TCCCGTCTTGTGTCTCAATACAGTTGTATAATTGTAAGATACATATTTTTAAGAAATTAATTTAGTTCTTGTTGATCACTGTTGCGTCTCATTAGGCACTCCTTGTAGATCGAATATAGTCAATAAAGGCCAGTATTGTACCAGCAGTTATAAGAAATCGTTTTATCCCGCATATTGTATTTAATTGAGCATTTTAGTCAAACATATGTAAAATAATATCCCATATACATTGTTAGATAACGATGGGAATAATTTGTAAATAAATGATTGGCATGTTTTATGGGAAGGGGACCGGGGCCAGTAAGTACTTGTTTGTACATTGAGATTTCATGACAATAAAAAAGTTATTTTTTATCACTATTGTGAGATATAATATAATCTGCTTATAAAATAAAAATATGTACCCATTCCCTTAATACTTGATAAAAACTTTTTCATAAAACTGACTAACATCTAATACAGTAATTATTTTTTGAATTTTTTCATTTTGTATATATATAAATATATATACATAATTATTATATATATATATATATATATATATAAATGTATATATATAAATTTTGTATTTATAATAAATAAAACTTATATAAATAAATTATAACATTGCTATATAATTTTTCTTTCAATTTTTAATTTTTCGATTTTTGAATAATATTAAAAATAGAAATATGGAAATTTTTAATTAGTAATTGCCTATTTCGATTATATTACAAAGTATGCAATGCGATATTGCATGATATGCAAATTATAATTATGATAAAAATTTATTCAAATTTTAAACGCTTTATTATTCAAATTTATTCAATTTTTATGTAATCTAATCGTAATTATTAATTATGTATGTGCTTGTGTAAACAATTATCAAGCATCACTAAAGAAAAGATAAAAAATATTATCTTAAATTATGCGATAATATATAAAGAAATGTTTTAAAAATAAATATTAGTAATATATAATATATCCAAAAATATAATAAAATTTTGAATGTTTATAATTCCATAAAAAAATATAATATTACTTGTTAAAATATTAAATAATTTCTGAAATCAATACGAAAAAAATTGAGTTTCACATTTTGATGTTAATATATACACGAATTCACAGTGAAAAACATAAAATATGTAGTCGGCTAGACTGAATTTACAAATGTAACTTTAACGCGATAATGTCAATGACAAACGATCGCATTTAGTTATAATACTTCATTATGAATATTCAAAACATGAATGTTATGTGCCAAGAATACTTGAACAATTTCATGAATACGTTCGTAAACGTTATACACACGTGTGTGTGCTTTTCGCAATGTTTAACGAACATACAAGTCGTCTTCCAACATATATAATTTTGCGAGATCACATTTGTATTTACTTTCGTCGACTATCGAAGCTTAAGCCAAATGGATATCACGCAAATATCGTAAACATGACATTTATTCGAGATATTGTTACAAAAATGTAAGTATGTATGCGGTAAATAAGGGTTAAAAATAATCAGTCTTTTGTCCGTTGCTTTGTCAGTGATGTGTTCACATACATATATATATATATATATATATATATATATATATTTTATATTCGTATATAAGAGTAAAATATGATAGGTAAATTATTGACATTTTTCGGTGTATAATATAATGATCGCGGAGAACAGAAAATTCATTGCAAATCTAGGAAAAAGCGACGTGTATGTAAATGTTGGTTTTATAATGATAATTAAATTAACTCAGTGATTGGATTTGGGAGCAGGATGACTTGGAGTGAAAACTTCGTAGTCGATTACCGAGAAATGATAGTCTCCCATAAGTAGCTGATTAGATGCGTGATCTCCATCATAACTATGCGGAAGATTGCTGTAGCTTTCCTTGTTGACATTGCAGTTGCTTGATATAAGCAGATCAGCTCCAGCACCGAAGATTGGCCCTATGCTGCAACAAATTACGTCAAATGCAATTAGCTTGAGAATAGAATAGAGAAGATTCTCCTGCAAAAATCGCAGAAATTCTTACTCCGGATGACAACAGATCGCGAAGGATTTCTTCACGATATCGAATTTCGTTGGCGGTATGTCTTGATTATTTGTCAATGTGAAAAGAAAGCTCTTCTCCGAAGCAATGTACTGCGCCTTCGAAATAGTTTTACCCCATGGAACATCGCTGAATCCTCCGCATATCTCGCCGCGTACACCCTGAAACATATAAGATCGCATTTTATACATATATTTTATTGATATAATTATATTTGGTTATATAGGTATATTATAAGTATATTTTTTATATTTAGTTACAAAAAAACTAAATGAAGATACTATACTTACTAACACTATTACGTATGTCGGGCAAATATTATCACAGTGTCGATGAAAAGACGCCGCTGAGTAGCCATGAGTAGACGCTCTGAAATTAAAATGAAATTAAATAATAAATGTCTAAAATACTGTTTAATAATTTAATAATTACAGAATAATTACAGAACTAAAGAAGAAATCATCAGCATATCATCGAAACATATAGAAAACAGAAATAAAATAAAAAGATAAAAATATAGAATATCATTATACAATATAATTACATTATATTGTTATAATGTTATATCTTATGTCATGCCGTCTTATATCTCGCATCTGAAACATTTTCTGCATACAATATTCTTAACTTACCGATAGACCAATCGCCAACCCTGCTTCGACACGCCGTACCACTGATTCAGAACCCGCTGAAAACCAACCTTGTCTCTGGAGAGGATCTGCGAACCCGGGAAGAGGAACGGACTTACTCGCGGCTGGAGTCGCTTATCGGCACAGACCTCCGAGTATTTGTTCGGCAGAGCTGCATACCTATACCTAAAGCGAAACGTCGAGATCGAAGGCGATACCGCCAAACGATGAATGCCGCCCCGTTAGATCGTACCTTAGAAATTTCGAGCTGCTCGATCGATCGGGAGTGAAAAATTCGTACCTCTCCAACGACATCTCTATCGGCACCGCACCGGTCGGCTCTACTTCCTCCGCAAACACCTGGCTGTCGATCAACAACAGTCGTACGTGATTTATTACTCCAGACAGATGCTGGCACACCCTCATGCGCTCTTCTTCGGTCCAGTGTTGTGTGGGTTGCGTAACTCCTGCCTAAGAGTAATGTATTATTAATTAAAAGTAACAGTTAAGAAAATTTATCTATCTCTCGTAATAAGTAAATTCATTACAAGAGATGAAATAGGACTGAAATAGGAGATAAATGAACCTGATATTTGGCCCAATTTAGAACTGCCCGCCATACATCCTCTTCTTCCAAACCGAGATAATCCGACGATATTAATTTTACTAAAGCGTCTTTCGGAAGATTGCAGAATGCCGTCGTTTTCACTGTATCCATAGCATTTTCGCCAATAAAAGTGAAACATTTCTCGATAAAAGATGAGCAAGCAGTCTTCCCGCCTGAAACATGAAGATAAACAATAGTAAAAAGTAATAAAGAATAATTTAATATATGAATAAAGAATAAGGTAATAAAGAATATTTTAATATATGAATATTTTCTCCTAAAAAAATTCATTATTAAATAAAATCATTAAATAAAATTAAGTAAAAAATATTACTTAAAGTTAGGTTTAAATGACTCTTTTAAAAATAAAATTACAGAAGAAAATGTAAATTAAATTTTAATTTTTATCTTATTTATATATTTATAATAATATAAATTTATAATAATATCAACAGATTCATAATCTTTGGATTAAATTGTCAAAATAACTCTCATTTTAAATTTGTTCAAATAGCACAATAAATAACAGAAATCTTCAGAAATCTTTTTTAATTTTACAAATTTAAAAATATTTCTATAAATTATATAAATTTGAAAAGATTATATCATAAATATTATTAAGTATTACTCATTTTTTACAGTTTCTTATAAAATATAAAATTTTTTCTTTGACGCAGTTAAAAAAAGTGTTTATTAACTCATTTGTTTTATTAAAATGTTTAAATATATTATCTTTATAGATAATTTTTATGGGTTTATGTAATAATAGAATTAAATTATTTCTACATTTTTCAGTTAATACTTAATATTTAGGTATTTAGATATAAAAATAAACAGATATTTTAGAATATAAAACTATTTAATAAATTGTTTATATACATTCTGTTCATTTCATCTATCACTTTCGTGGCTACGTACAAAACACATTTTTCACAAATATCAAATTATGATGCAATGTATAAACCAAGATGACATTTATGTTCTCAGACAGGATTCACAATACGCAATTCTATATCATTAAACTATTCGTTTGCATAAATTAAGTAGCGGGATGTATGTTTATGTAAACAATCAAAGTCCTTTTCTCACAACAGTTTTTAATCTCGCATTCATCAAGTCTCACATAAAGTAAAACTTTGTATCTAGAGAATAAACCAATACAAATCTTCATTGATACATTCATCAATCACGCGATACATTTTTCTCGCACGCTTAGAAAGTTATCAATTTTCAACAATCTCCCTGAGTCCAAAATGAGACTCCGACTCGTAGTCGGCTTCTGAACCGACGCCCGCCGATTCTGATGCCGGATTGAGGTTATGTTCCCTCCTTAGCTCGCCGTGGGATTGGTGTTTTGTATCAACGTGATGTTATCGCCCTTCAGCATGATTCGTCCGAGTGGCTTCCTATTCTTCGTCTTCTGATGATACTCCTCAGCATCGTCCAGAACCAGGTTCATGTACTCGTCAAAGCCGACAATGTGTCCCTCAATTCGTAGGTTCACATTCTCGAACAGCCAGACCTGCACGCGTGAGCGGTTCTGCAGGTAGCGAAAAATGAGGTTGATGGGCTGGACCATCACCTTCTGGACTTTCTGCGGCCCCTTGTACGACATTTTCGCACTGATGCTTGATAACTGGACGCCAAATAACAAAGAACGTATCTCACGAGTGTATTCCGTAAGCGTGGGACGCCGAAAGATATGGCGTCTTCAGTGATGATGCTACCACTGATGCCAACATAACAGCGCTAATCGGCCCTAATCACTTTCATAAAAATCACTAATTTTTTTTCGAATAAAGAAGAAAAAGAAAAGAACAGAAGAAAATCAAACATTTTTAATAAATTAAAATTACTATGATTAATTCTATGATTAATGCTATGATTAATTATTATGATTGTTTATAAAAACATATCAAATGTTTTTATGGAAATGTTTACCTAATATTTTTTTTTTGGAAACCATTAATTAAGATTGTATCGAAATCGCAATTAATTAAAGTAATGAGTTTTATCGATTGTAAATCTTGATATCATCTTGATATCTTTTCGATATCTTTAGTTATATAAAGTTTCTACAATATCTAAAGTTGGTTAAGGTGATCAGTAATCTGAGCTTTTGTTAGATGGCACATAATACTAAAGTAATTTGTATGTCATTGCATTGATACATAAATAATTCCGTATTTGATCTAAATAATTGTAAATATATTTTAATAAAAAATTTATGAACAATATAATTCAAATAATGTCAAACTATTATCATTTTTTTATTCAAACAAAATTTTAAACGCGCCAGTGTGATATTTGAATAAGTCATTTCATTGTTTCTATCATTGTTTTTATCTCAGTTTTTGTGTTTATTGAAATCTTTATAAAAAATTGAACAAAAAATATCTTTAAATGTAGTTTGCGAGATAAAAGAAAATGATTGCTGATTTTTATTACGAATCCTAATTATTCGTTTCAAAGGGTCAATTATACATTTGAAATTAGGTTACAAAAAATTATAAAAGCGAAGAAATTTAGCTTTCGACATATAAAGTTGCAGATATTCTAATACATTTTCTCACTTTTATAATTTTCATCTCGCTTCAAAATACACAATTGATCCTCAGATTCGAATAGCGCATTCGACTGCCATAACAGTTTCATCGATGCATGCAGTTTAGAACACGAAGTGAGAACAATATTAACAATTAATCATAAATTTAATCCATTAAAAACACATATCATACGCGAATATTCGTCAGAAATGTTAATTTAAAGTGACGAGCAATTATCGGAGCATATCGGTTATTGCAATTATGGTGAATTAATTCATCAATCATAGATAGCACTGCATCGCGGTTTAAAAATGGTACAGTTTTGATGAGTATCGATTCCGACAAAATTGGCATATGAAAATGATTTTTACATTTCTTTCAAAAAATTCGAGTAAAAACTCCCTTGATTAATTGAGGTTGATCAAGAAGATAACGCAAAATCATTGATTGATAATAAAAATTCAATAAAAAATTAATATACTATAATGTAGAATAAAAAATTTAAATCATCATAATGCCATCATACGCATCCATATATCCAAGAAAACTTGTCACTAAATATCATTATCGATTATTATGATTGATAACGCTAATTTGTGAAAGATTTGTCGAGTGAATTTCGTGATTATAATTATCCATTATAATTTTATCCATTTCATACTATCGATTTTTCACAGACTGATTATTGATTACTGTCAATAATTTTGTAAACGCTATTTTTATATCATTACTAGAACAGTACAAAACGCGTGCTTCACGCGCGCCATTTATTTTTTAATATTATATATTTTTATATAAAATATTTACATCACATATTATATAATCTTGCTACTAAAATCTCACATAATTACTAATGTTAACTAACGTTACTTCGAATTTTCATTTTCAAAATTTAATATTTATTCCAGTTCCTGATATTTTCTTCGTATACAAAGCTCAACGAAAAGATATATACCTTGTATACATATAATTTTGTTATAAACGTTGAAACCTTATGTTTTATGTTTGAGATAGCGATACAATAGTGCGCGGCCTTGGTACTTTGTTTACAATGTTTATTATATCGACGGGTATTGTATACGCGCAAGCAACGCGTTATTATTCAACCACCGACGCTCGTGCGGGCAGGTAATGTTACGTATCCCTCTGCGTTTTCACGTTTTCTTTTCGAAACAAAGTCGCGACGAATTCTAAATGACGTTCAAAACATTGATGCATCTTATAATAAACATGTTTCATTTGAATATTCTGGGCGGAACTCGTATTCATTAATCAACATTTATTTTTTAAAGCACAGTGATAATTTATTTTTGTAAACGATACGGCGGGTATTGCTCTAACGGAAAGGCTGCGTACTTCGAGGAGCTTCTTTTAATGATCTAATTCGAGTATCTTTGACGTTCAATATAAATTTTCTTGAAATGGAGCTTCTTTGCTTTGAAATTCTCATCGATTTAAATGTAGTTTACATTTTGCAATATATATATTTTTTAGTCTATTGTATTAATTTATTGTATCGTAAAATATATGTGTGTGTGTGTGTGTGTGTGTTGGGGGGGGGGGGTATGCATGTATCTCAAATAAATTGTAACGAGTCTATTAAGAGTGTGTTCATTTTGGACGCTCATACGCTATAAGCATCATTTTACTTTTATTAATTCATATTTACATCAAAAGAAAATAAAACAATGCTTCCAGCGCACGAGCGTCTAAACAAACGCACTGTAAATGAAAGAGCAAATGTATGATAGTAGAAATTTAGAAAGTAAAATATAACAATTATATTATTTAATGTTTCATTATCAAAGATGCTATAACGCTTTGTAGAAATTAAATTTGATTTGTAACATGTGTTGAATCTCGTCTAGCCAAACTATTGTTATTTAGTTAAGTAGTTTACATGCCGCGGCTGGTACGCCACGTGTTTACGAGCGCTCCGCGCGCTACTAATGTCTCATTGGTGTTCGTAGGGGTAGGTCGCGATACGCATCGTTCCGTATTTCTTTGCATTTCTTCAATGCTAAATGATACCAAATCGTGTTATATCTTATGAATGTAATAGTAAATGCTTGTTAACGCGCGTAATTATCGATTCGTAAGTTATCGAAATGACGAATCTCTAACAAAGTATATATATATATATATATATATATATATATATATATATATATATATATATATATATATTA